CATATACTACGAACCTCTTCAATGAGATTTTGGGCGTGTACACTCTCCACATCGGCATTTTTAATGACTTCTGACATCTCCGTGGTAAGTTTTCCTCCTGATCGATCAAACAACATGGCGATGCCGGCTGCACTCGTGTATTCTTCTTTGGTGTTGTTTTTCAGGTCTTCAATCATTTGTTCCTTCATTGCAGCAGCCATTGCATTTGTAAACTGCCTATCCTCACCAAACAGATCTACCAGCTTGTCCAGGATCATGCTCTCGGAAGCAAGTGTACTGATCCTCACCAGGGATTCTTCTCCAAAGAACTCAGCCAGGTCAAAGTCGGTTTCCCCAGCGGTTCCACCTGCGATGCTTCCAAAGTCAAATGCTAAGTCCAGCGCTCTTTCGCCATAGATGACTTGCTTGGGATGGGGTGGAAGGCCAGTGGTGATCTTAGTCACGTTAGATGCAGCATCCCTTAGGGCGGGGCAGTTGTAGCGTTTTAGGACCTTTTTGTTCCCCATTCGGACGAGGTTCATCATCGTGACTGTAGAACATGCGTGACCAAGAGCAGCTCCTTCCTCACAAATGCTTGCCCAGATACCGTTAGCTCCGTTTATAAGGCATTCAAGCTGCACCATTTCCCCAAGAGCCCACTTCTTGTGAACACGAGCCAAGAGGTGTCCAGAGGTCCACCCATGGGAATCCATGATCTTACGTACACCTCGATAATATGACAAATACTCAAGTTAGTATGTAAAGGTTAAATCACATCGCGATCCTTGTGATATTACATAAAGAGGTATTGACGCAGGCCTTGACTTTTACGGCTGGCAAATCTTCAGAGCATGTTCTTACTTTAAACCTGATATGCTCCTTGGATAATTAAGCAATACCATTGCCAAGGACATTAAGACAGAAACAACAACTACAGACAACAACAATAACAACAACAACACGAACAACCAAAGACTGATTTAATGAAAACATTCTGTAGAGAAGTGTATTAACTGCATTGTTTTAACATTACAATTTTGTTTGATGTATAGTTTGTTTCAAGCCCTATGATCACTTATTGATTAATGTTTGTCTCTGGTATGACTCCACCTGTTTTTTCAACATGATCATCTCTTGTCATCCTTGTCGGGACCAGAAGAACTATATCACATACAGGAGTGTCAACTATTTAGTGAGCAAGCTTACCAGCAGTCCAGGCGCCAACCTCCTCTGGTAAAAACTTGCCCG